ATAGGAAATATACTTTGTATATATCCTAGCAAAGATCTCAAAGAAATAGCTCAACTTCCAGCCAATATCAGGAAAGCTGTTAAAAGATATACTGAAATCGTCAAAACAACAAATATATATATATCAGATTCCATTCAACAAGCATAGAATGGGATCCTGTTCTTGAATATATGCATCCATCGTTCCATGTGATAAAAATGAGACTTACAAATCAACAATTTTTACCAACCAATCAAAAGGTTGTTAAAAATGGTTATCAAGATATTCTAAATATGATGCCCTACAGAAGAGCAAAATGGTACAAAGAGATATTTGAACATGTAACTCAGATAATTACTGAGAAAGAAAAAATATGGGTGTATCCATCTGAAGATCATATTATCTATTCCAATGCAAGGATGGCTACCAAAGAAGAAGATATTTGTTATCTCGATCATTTATTATCTGCAATTATTTTCAACCAAGTACATGAATCAGAAGATATGGTTAAAGAACTATGCAAATTACTCTGGAACTACAGTGATCACCATTGTGAATACTATGTTGTTGAAGATATGAATAAAGCATATCTTAATAGTGAAGAATTCCCTGCAGAATTCTTTGATTTGAAAATGGAAAAGTGATGGTGACAAAAGTAGCCCTTTATCATTACTTTAATAAAGAAATTTATTAAAGAAAAATTGTGGCTACTAAAAGACAGAAGATAATGCAAGAAAAGTCTCCATAATTGTGACTACTCCCCACCATTTGTCACAAGTGGCAGACAAATTCAAAAGATAAGGCATCTAATTTCAAAAAGGAGAGATCCACTAGCAAGAAGATAATGGAAAAATTCGGTGGAGATAAGATGGCCTAACTACCCAAAAAAGAAAGGTGAAAAACACCTGTCAAGATAAGATTCCCAAAAGCTTCTATAAAATGAGGCGAGGAGGAAGAAGGAAGATATCTCAAAACAATTTATCTTTTAAACACTTTGAAGAAATACATCTAAGAGAAAGATATCTTTTGTAATCTGTATATACTACTTGTATTCAGAAAAATATTAGATAGCTTGAAGATAGAAAAGCGTGTAATAAGGTAATCACTTATGGAGTTCTAAATTTCATAAGGTGAGTACCAAAGGTATGTAAATATAATTTGTAAGCATGTACAATTTCAGTTTATGAATATCAAAGTAAAGTTTGTTATGTTAAACAAAACTTTCATAAAAGGATTTCGTTAAATTTCCCATGATTCCTCGACGGTACAGATAGAGATTTTAAAAGATTTTCAAAATATTGATTTTGAATGGATGTTAGCCATGCCAAAGTACCTGTCTTTGATGAATGGTTTAGGGGGAAAAAGGCAATTTTCTAACAAAATTGTAGCACCTTGTGTGTGAGTTATCTTTTAAAATTTCGTTCCAAGTAGGAACTTGATTCTGAAAAGAGTTTGGATAGAGGTGAAAACAGAGACTCTAAATACTGTGAGATAGCATCTGTGGAAACACGGCTAGTTCTCTAGAGTGAGAAATGCAACCTTAATTGAAAAGCTTTTTGCGGAAGTACTTGTGGACCCAAATGATTTCAAAAACATTTTAAATCCTTACTTGATTCAGAAGATTGATTAAGTACATGCAAAGCATCTATAAGAGCATACTGGAGGGAAAACCTGTTTACTTCCATTTGATTACTGTAAGTTATTTACTTGTTCTTACATGCTTATGTTTTAATTATTCTGATGAACAATTCACAAGCATCCACATCCACTAATGATAATAATCTCATATTATTTTTAGATGAAAAAAATGTTTCGTTTTTATTTAAATTAGATGAAAAATCTGAAGATATATTCCCTGTTGGCAAAGAAAAAATTGAAGAAATATATAGAGACATAGATTATAATTGTAGAAATAATATAAGATTTGATTCTGTGGAAATTAGTAGAGAGATGAGAAAGGTAGAAGATATTATAACCAAACGTAGAAATATACAAGAAGAAATTTTAGAAGGATTAGTTCAAGGATATATAACCAAGAAAGGTCAACCTATAATTTTTGAAGAACTATCAAGATACAAAGAATATTTAAAGGTGTTTGAAAAGTTGAAAAATATAGATATAGGTCCTGATTGATAAATCTTTAAATATATAAGATACATCTTGCAAATAACTATAGTAAGGGCAAAATAATATTTTTAATAAAAGAGGCCATTGTGGAAAATAGGAACAATTTTCCAGCCTTTCTAAAAATTACACCGAATTTGGTAGGGGACAGTAAGATCGTCAATCTTTAAATCATTTTAAAACTCTTTATTAATATTTTAATTCAGAGAACACTTCAAAATTTTTTACTATTCAAATTTATAGATGCCGCTCTCTAAATTATAAAATATTTTCTTTAAATATAGAAAGTTTCTTTAAAATCCTCTAATACAATAACTATGAGAAAAGTTAAATTTCGACCTTGCTTGCCGAAAATCACAAACAAAGCTTACAATCTATGTGGAAGAAAAGTAAAGAAATAAATGAGTCATTAACATGGGACAATACTAAGAGAAAATTCAAAATCAGTTCGAAAAGAAAAGAAATAAATTAAATATTATTTTCTACCAGACTTCTTATATTATTAAAATTAGAGGATAATCTTGCCTATAAATATAAAGGCTTTGTATACTTTTTAAAATTCAATTTTATTATTCGATTTTTGATTAATAAACTATTTTAGTTTTTCCGTTTATTGGTGGATTCCAATATATATTTGGTGAATTCTAAATAATTATCACGTCTGTTCCAGCGAAATTCAAGGAAACACTCGTTCGTGTGTTACGAACTAAACACTTTTATTTTATCCACGTTCCCGTTCTACGTCAGGTGGTATCAAAGCAGGCTTTTTCTCTTCTTAATATCTTTGATTCATAAACCTAGGTGACGTGCTAACTACTAAGGCAGAGTTGGATGCAACAATCGACGGCTTGACAATCTTACTATTCAGATTGAAGATATTCATCAATTTGTTTTCTTTGGGGTGTTGAAAACAAATGGCAGAAATAACAACTAGCAATCAATAATAAATGGATTACTGAGCCTATAATTCTAAGAGAAAATGACAGAAGACTCGTAATAGAAAAAAGCAAATCGGATGTCACATACAAGGAAGAGAAAGATGAAAAATATATGGATGAAATTTGTGGACAAAAAGAAGGAGATTTCGTATGCAATGTAGAGAAAGTCTTGTGCTCATCCAAGTAGGAAGATTTAAATCATCATGAAAAGATATTTCAGGCCAATGATGCTGTTTGCAGTCAAATCATATATAATTGCAGTTGTGAGAATCTTATCACAAAAAAGCTGGTGCATCAACTGAATCTGCCAAACAAACCACATTCAAATCTGTATCCAATTGAATGGATCGAGAAAGGTTTGTATATTCAACTGACTTAAATTTGTAAGGTACCTTTGTTAATTGAGACTTGTCACAAATCAGAAGTTATTTGTGATCTTGTTTTGTTGGATGGGTGTCATATTCTACTGGACAGATAGTGGCAAATTAATGTGAATGACATACATAAGGGTAAAATTTGTTCCATCATTTGGGTTAGAACTTGTTTTCTAACTTTACTAATACCAAAGTAGAAATTGATGCTTGAACTCTATTTTCCTTCATAATTAGTTTCAAAGGAAATTCAAAGCAAAGCAGGGAATTGAACCACAAATTATGTTCTCCTTGAGCTAGAAGTACATTAAGTGACGTGGATAAAAATGGGGATGCGACTGGTTGTAACAGACTGATAGTAGGCTTCAATAGATGGTGGGGTGACAATGGGTGTGGATGTGGGAGATAGGATATGAATTTGGGAAGAAAAAAATTAAGTAATAGTGTAGGATTGTAAGGTAGGATGGGACGTAGTACATAGTATTCTAAAATGTATGTATATGCTTTGCTTACACCCGCATGTGCTCAAGACTTTTTCAAAACGCCTCACATATGGAGTATGTATGTAATAATATGGTCAACACATTTTCGTTGACAGCATATGCATGATTAGATTTAGCCCAACAAAGCCAAACCCATTTTTATAACTTAAAAATACAAATTGAGCCCAACAAACATCAAATTCGCCCAAGATCACTTAAACCAATGAATTATACAACAATTTGTATGATTTTGATGTTTGGAAAAATCAAAATAAGTTTTTCGTAGAGTTGCAAACCCTCTACGTCGAGTCTCTTTCTTCAATATTCCTCTACTTTTACTAACAAGTGATGGTAATAATGCACAATATGTTGATAATTGTGATAGTGAAGAGGATATTGACAATAATATCTTATCATTTACAAGAGGTAATAGAAATTTTTTAGTTGAAATAAGAGAGTCCAATGAAGATTATTTTGTATCAAATGAGATGAAAGGCGATTGGATGAAGAAGAGGAGATTGAACTGAATCGATAAAGACATAGACCATATTCAGGATTATTAAATTGGCGTTCTTGTTTAATCCAATTGCAAGAATTGATTACTAAATAATTATAGTATTTGTGATTTTAAGCTATATATATATATATATATATATTGAAAATTTGAAGAATATATATAAAGTTCAAAGAAATGCATTATTTTATTTATTTATCAGTTTATATTGGACAACACATAATTAGGAAATTGAATTGAATCGATAAAGACATAGACCATATTTAGGATTATTGTTGAAAATTTGAAGAATATATATAAAGTTCAAAGAAATGCAATATTTTATTTATTTATCAGTTTATATTGGACAACACATAATTATATGTATGCTTTACATGTACACATATATACATATGTTTGTAATGCTCGATACTCACAATAACGCATTTTATAAACTTGGCAGTACATACTTGATTTTTAAAAACTTAAATTCTGATTTTTTTTAAATGAAAAAAAAAATTAGAAAATAGGGATGGAATAATTTTTCCTTTAAAAAACGCTTATAAAATGTATCCCCATTCCCCATAATCAAAAGTAGGCCCTACAGAAAAGTAAATGAATTATTACCGTCTCTTCGTGCAAAATCAACTGCATACTGAAAAACTGATCGACAAATTTCTTCTTTCCCGAACTGTCCCTAGATTTTCTTCACTGCACGTCCGCACTAACCGGCTCTATCCTCGGTACACCTCACACCAATCTTTCCCCTTGAACCAGCCTAAACCCTGAAATTTGGTGCCTTTTCAGCCGTCGAATTTTCTTAATTTCATTTTATACTACTGGAAATCACATACATTCATTTTTATAGTGAAAAGTCATAGTTTCTTTGTTGGGTTAGTTCAATAAAAAAATATTATGGGAAAAAGAAAGAGAAGAGCTAACTTGGATGAAACACCACCATTGTCAGGTAAATTAGGTTATTTTTCTGGGTTTATATTTTTATTTAGTAAATTCTTTGTGTAATTGGTTATATGATTGAAATATTTTGATGGGTTTTTGATGACGCAGTGGAATATTTCTAAGAAATTTCTTAATTATGATGATAAAAACCATAAACTCTTTCTGAAATTCATTTTTGGTGAATAGAAGTATATATCTTGATGAATATGTATATTAATAAAGGCCTCTGATGCATTAAAAGATGAAATACATTTTTGTTTACATATTGGCTTTTGTTTTGGTGAAAATGTGTGCTGTTTTGCATCATTATTTTTTGTTTCAAAATCAAATATATCAATTTAGTTCGACATTCTGTGTAGTTCCAATCATCGGCTTAACGTTTATATCTTCACCAGTTCTACAAGTCCACTTCAGTTTTTCAATTCACAATATCAGATATTCTGTTTAGTGTATTTGATGAAGGTTGATGGAATAATGTAATTGGAGCATGAAATAAACTTAATCTACTGATTTGGCATAAAAAGGTTAAAGTGATCCAAGTGAAACTTTGCTTAAAGGTCAGTGTCTACTAATATTTTAACCACAGACGAAGTGATAAAATCTGGATTCTATTGTTCACTAAATCATGGAAACTTTTTTCTAATGAAAATTCACCCTATGTATATCCAATCTTGTTTTTTAATTTTGTCTCCTACACATTGATCCAAATAAACCGTTATGGAATTATCAAGTTTGCATCTTCTACATCCTTTCTTTTAGATTGTGAATTTCTCTACATTTTCATACCACTTTTATGGATGGTAAAGTCACATGCCATTAAATTTTTTGATTTGGGCATAAGCCCAAACTCAATGTTTTATTTGGTACTTTGTCTTCCATCTAGACCAATTAGTTTGCTCGTCTTATCCTCTTCACAGACTCTCTCATGTCAAAGATACTGATTTTTTTAGTAAAGTTGGCTTTCTATATAATAGAGTTTGACAAATTCTCAAGAAGATCCACCAATATGCATGTTATTAAATAATTTATTGAAGTAATTATTCTTTTTCTTTCTGTGGTCTCGCCGCTATGGAAGTACAAGTATTCCTCAAAATTATTTGATTTTTATCTTTGATATACTTGGTCTAGATCTTTCTCATAATGTCTCCTTGCGGAATTTTTTCCCTTTTCTAGACATTCTTGTAAATAGCTTTCTACCCATTATTGGTTCTGTAGACCAACCTTTCTGGATTTCCATTAAGCCGATTTATACTTCTCAAAATCATATGCATATTTATGTATTGATAAGTTTCAACAGCATCTGTAGTTATAAGTGCTACCTGAACCTCATCAAAATAGCACCTCTGTTTACATTCAGATGTGATTGACTCTTACTTTCCTTTCTGTTCTTTTTCTTTTTCTTTTTCTTTTTTATATATATATTTATACGAGGAGTTACATACCTGATTATGCATTATTATCCAAGAGTAAATTTCCATATGATAATTTATTTAATTATCATTGGCTGATAACCATTCTTCGAATTCGCAGAATTCATGCCGCCTTCACCTCAAACGGACATGTTTTCAAAAGAGGTTGTTTCTCATAGTTCGATTTTTATGCTCTCTTACCTCGTTCTCTGTATTTTGTTAAATTTTATTTTAATGCAGAAATCTTCTCACCAAGCTGAATACAGTGCGGCACAGCCTCCATTATCCATTACGGATATTAGAGATAATTCCATGAAGATACCACAAGGCCACCAGTCACCTTATGGTTCTGGTTGTGGTTTATTATTGAGGCACCCTCATCATTGTTTTAGCCGCCGTTATTCTAGACGAAGCACTAATCACTCTGAAGCATCAACTTCTAATAGGAAGGGTCATCCTGTAAATGATATGAAATTGTCCTTTAAACTGCCTAATAAAGACTCTTCAGACTCGCAGCATATAGGTAGACTTCATTAGTCGATCTAATTGTCCTTTAATCAGCCTACTCAGATCATCTTATTTAATATCTTCGTTTTCTCTTCTGTTTTTAATCTCAGAAAGTAGGGGAAGAACATCCCATAAACCAGGAAGAATTAGGTCGAGTTCATTGGTGATGAACGCAATATCTGCTGATGTTTGGAAAATGGAATGTGGTATATGCCAGAAACTCGTGAGGAAGAAACCCTTCATCCTTGGGAGCTCTATGTCGTCTAGTGATCTCTCGGTGGCTGCCGTTTTGGTCTGCGGTCATGTTTATCATGCTGATTGTTTGGAACAGGAAACGAGCCATGAAGATAGACGGGATCCTTCTTGTCCATTGTGTTCAAACCGGCTCTCGCACGTTGATGCCTAGGTATGTCCAGTCTCGCTGTGCAGGTTTTGTATGCCAAACCTGAAAAAATAGTTTCCAAAATAAGGACATGGTGGATTTTTGCAGGTGTTTAATGTTATGCTAGTATTCCAGGAATCATCAAATATGTTGTTATGAAAAAGATGCATATGTATGTATTTATGTTTTAACTTATGAAGATCAGATGAGAGCTCTGGTTTTTCATTATAGAGAGCATTATGTTAATGCTATTTGCACTTATTTTGGGCCATCATATTGTAATTCAGCTTATGAGTGTTTTCTGATTTTGTATGTGGGTTTTTAATAATGCTTTTCTCCTTCTTCATTTTTTTTCCAGATTTTTTAGCATTCTTCTTGAAAAGGTAATTTTGGTTAATAACTATGCTTGCATGATGCTCTTTATACGACATTAATTTGCACAGTTCATTTCAGTTCAATATATTTTAAATTGGCAAAATTCAAACTATAAATTATGAATTATTTCTTCTGTACATAAATCGTATTCTACAAACTTTGAAAGCATTATAAACTACATTTTCAAGTATGCTAGGTTGAGTGTAGAGTTTTTTTGACAGTGTAATTTATGCTTACATCACGAGTTGCCATGTAGTCCTACATCGGGTACTAGGTTCTTCCCTCAAATTCCGCGAAGGTATTTCATTTGCAGGGGTGGATCATGACACTTTCGGTTGGGGTTACAATCAAACTTTCAAACGATGGATAAATCGTAAATGGTAATGGCAGTTCGTAATCGATAGATTGGGAGTGAGATATAAAGGTACAAAGTTGAGTTTGGAGCTGCCAGTTGCATAATATATTTATAGTATAGGTTTTCAACTTTGACATTCTTCAAAAAAAAAAAAAAAAAAAAACTGGTGAGTCAATTGACCCTATAGGACCCCCTCCAGGTCTGCCCCTGTTCATTTGTGAATTTATGTTAAAAAGCTTTAAGAGATTTCTAACGGGATCAAATGCCACTAGTGTTTGTTTTATTGTGACATAGTGTGCGTAAATATTGCCCAGATGTCATGAATATAATATATGACACCTAACAGGTCAAAGAACACGAAGATTCACTTTCAAAGAGTTGATAGAACTAAATGTTCAATATGCAAGTAATATGAACAATGTGACTCAACTAATGTTCGAAAGTGTTGTTTTCATATTTTTTGTGCCAAATGACATACCCCTTATTAGAAATGGCAAAATAATCCGTCCGCCCCATGAAAAAGTACAAAAAAAAATAAAAATAAAATAAAGAAGCTTAATTTTTGAAATGTGCTTAATCACATGGGACTTCAAAGATACGGGATTGGTTCTATTCATCGATTCTTTTCGATATCCTTTTGAAATATTCTTACGTGGGCTACATTTGGACTTCTGTGATTTGGGCAAAAGATGCTTAGCACTTGTTTGACCCCAATTTTAGGAGAGGAATGAATTTTTAAATAATGTATTGATGAGAAATATATAGTTATAATATATGAAAAAAATTTAGATTTGTGTGTAATATTATTTTATTGAAAAATGTGTGGTTAAAATGATATTAAAATATTGTTGAAAAATAATTTTTTTTCAAAAGAATGAGACTTAAACAAGGACTTAATTTTTTCGATTTGTTTAATGTAGATCGGTATGATATCTCCAAGTAGATTGAGGATGACACTGATGGGGTGAAAGGCAAAGGTCACACAATATTAAACTGAGAAGCAAGATAATCAAAACAGCCTAAAGTAAAACAGTGCAGAAAATTAAAGATTCGACACAAGACTTCTTTCGATCTAAGTCCCGAAGGTTCGGCGATCGCTTCAAACGCCTACATCCCCCGTTGAGCATCCAACAAGTTGGATTACGCTCGATTGCACTATAATGGCCAAAATTGGCAACTTCCGATTACAAATGTTCAACAAATACAAAGAGATAAGGCAAAGACATTTATCTCTCAAGATCGACCCAACACCTTCGAAGAATCACAAAGAATCTTCACTGCATCTCTCTCAAAACATCACAACTTAAGAGAATATAGGATTTTACAGATAATCACTCAGAATATCTAATCAGATCACTAAAATTTTCATGTTTAAGGCCTCAAATCAGAGATTTTAGCTAAAGAATCAGAACTGACGAAATCCTAACCACACGAGAAGTTTTTCTCTCACAAGAACCAAGAGTCGGACGCGTTAATTGAGTGTGTGTTGTGCCAAGTGAAACGACACCAATAATAGAAGATTCCAGATCCAATCCAATAGTCCAGGCCAATCCAGGTCCAGTCACATGTCTCCATCCAGTTGAAAGTGTCAATTTAATAAAGCTGCAATTTCATAAAACACGACTTTTCAACATCATAAAATTCTGGAAGCTTATAACCATGGTTCGAATCTCACATTCTCTACCTTGCTACTAGAATTTTTGGAACTATAGTGCAGTCAGGAGCAAATCCTTAACTCATTTTCATTTGCTCTATATACCTGTACATAAATCACAAAGAATCAACATATAAAAATTTCAAACAGTTTAAGAATTTATTTAAAGGAATTACTTTTGTACTCATATCTGATGGATTAAACTGAGTATAAACTTTTTCAAACTTAATTTCACCTTTTGAAATTATATCTCTTAAAAAATGGTACTTAACATCAATATGTTTCGATCTATCATGAAACATGGGATTTTTACTTAGGTGAATTGCATTTTGGTTATCAAAAAATAGCATAGTGTGATTATCATCAAAACTCATTTTGGTCAGTAAGCCATTTAACCAGATCCATTCCTTAACAGCATCAGTAGCTGCTATATATTATGTTTCAGTAGAAGACAGAGCAACTATTCTCTGAAGTTGAGACTTCCAACTAATAACAGTACCACACAATGTATAAAATAGGACGATGTTGATTTTCTATTATCTCTATTCCGAGCAAAATCAAAGTCAGTACACCCTTTCAAACTTATCCCATTTTTATCTGATTTAAACACTAATCCTAAGTTTGATGATAACCGTAATAATCACTTCAAGGCATGCTAATGTTCTTCACCAGGATTACGCATGAATCTACTTAAAATGCTAATACTATATGCAAGATCAAGTCTGGTTCATATCATCAAGTACATTACAGAACCAATTATAATAGCATATGGGATTTTTGACATTCTGGCATATTCTTCTTCAGATTTAGGACAAAATTCAGAAGATAGTTTAAAGTTATTAGCAAGAGGAAGTGTCACAGGCTTGCAGTCAAACATATCAAAAATTTTCAAAACTTTTGACACATAATCACATTGATTCAGAAATAGTATGTTTTTATCTTTGTTTTTCTAAATTTGCATGCCTAATATTCATTTGGCAGCACCAAGTTCTTTCATATCAAACTCTAATTTTAACTTTGATTTAATATCATCAATTTCAGATTTATCTGAACTAGGCAACATCATATCATCCACATAAAGAACCAAATATAATGAGTTTTTAACTCCATCACCTTTGCAATACAGACAAGTATCATATTGGCTTCTACCAAAACCAAGTTTTAAGACAAAGGTGCCAAACCTCTTGTACCATTGCCTAGGTGCTTGTTTTAGGCCATACAAAGATTTCTTTAGTAAACAAACAATATTTTCAGGATCATCCTTTTCAAAACCAATTGGTTGTTTCATATATATGGTTTCATCCAATTCCTCATACAAAAAAGCAGTCTTAGCATCAAGTTGATCAAGTTCACATTTAAATTGAGTTACAATAGCAAGCAATCATCTAATAGTAACATACTTAGCAATAGGGGAAAAAATTTCAGTGTAATCCACACGCTCTTTTTTTGTGTGAAACCCTTTGCTACAAGTCTGACTTTATATCTAACATTTTTACTGTCACCTTCCCCAGGTTTTACTTTATAAATCCACTTGCAGTCAATCAATTTTTGTCCTTTGGGTTTGTCAACCGAAATCCATGTTTTATTTTTAAGTAATGAGGTCATCTCATCTTCCATTGCCATTTTTCAGTTTCTGCTTTCTTTATATTTAATGGCTTCTTCAAAGGAATTTGGCTCATTTTCAGACAAGTCTTCGTAAGAAAATAAAGAAACAAAGGTGTCACTATCAAATCTGGTAGAGAGTCTGATTTGCCTCATCTTCCTATCTCTTGTGACTTAATACTCATCAAGGGGAAGAGCTGCAGAATTAGTCTCTTCAGTTTGATCAATTTCAGTTTCAGTTTCAGGTAGCAAAACATGTTCTTCATTTGCATTATCCCCTGCAGTAGACACAGAAGTATTTTCATTATTGCAGGAGGACTCCACCTCGATTTGAACATATTTTTCAGTTAGATTTTTCTCTTTTCCTTCAAGAAATGGCATCAATGACTCATTAAAGATAACATCCTTTCTTATTATTACCCTATAACCCTTTTCTGATTTAACCCATAGTCTATACCCTTTTAAATTGTCATTATAACACAAGAATATACACTTTAATGATCTTGGTTCTAATTTACCAATATTTTGATGAGCATAAACAACACAACCAAATACTTTCAAATAAGAGTAATTTACAAGGTTATTTGACCACACAGAATCAAGAACAGCAAAGTTTAAAGTACTAGAAGGACTCCTATTAATCAAATAGGCACCAGTTTTAACTGCTTCACCCCAAAACATCTTAGGTGGTCCAGAACTTAAAAGCATATATCTGACTTTATTCAATAAAGTTCTATTATTCTTTTAGTCATTCCATTTTGTTGTGGTGTGTGAGGAACAATTTTGTATCTCATGATACCATATTCTTTACAAAAATTATCAAATTCATAATTGTAGAATTCCAAATCATTATCAGTTCTCAGATAGTTTATTTTACAATCAGTCTAATTTTCAACTTGAGTTTTTCAATCCTCAAAGACAGAAAATGTCTCATCTTTTGATTTCAGTAAATGTACCCAGACTTTTCTTGAAAAATCATTAATTATAAGCAAAAAATACTTGAAACTAGTCAATATAGAGACAGAAGTAGGACCCCACAGGTCAGCATGCAAATACTCAAGTCTTTGTTTGGATTTATGGATTCCAGTTGGAAAAGAAAGTTTAAATTGTTTTCCCAAAATACAATGTTCACAAATACCAAAATCACCAAGATTATATTTTCCAAATACACCTTTTAAATGCAAGAAATTCAGTCCCTTTTTACCAATATGACCAAGTCTTTCATGCCACAATTTAGCCAAAGTAAAATTTTCAGACATAACAGAAGCAGTTAATCCAACTAAGGGTTTAGCATTCAGGCAATAAAGGCCATATCTTTTAGAGGTTGAAATGACCAAGTCATTCCCCCTAAGAATTTTTATATGTCCTTGACCAATAATTATGTTAAATTCCTTGTCATTTAGCATTCTTAAAGACACTAAGTTCCTTTTCAAATTTGGGACATGTCCTGTGTTCTCAAGGAACAAAACATTACCATTTTTCAATAACAATTTGACAGTTCCAATTCCAATCACTTTGCAGGCAAAATTATTGCCCATTATAACCTGTCCCTCTTTAGTTTTTTCCAGATTTATAAAACAATTTTGTTGGGGCACATGTGAAAGGAACAACTTGAGTCAAGTATCCATTCATCACTTTGACATTTTTCAGTACTTACTAAAACAAAACCGTTTTCGATTTTGATTTTATCATAGGCCAAGGCATTGCTTTCATCAAAACCTTTCTCTTTTGAATCATTTTTTTTTTTGAAACAATCTTTTGCAAAATGACTAAATTTGCCACAATAATAGCATTTTTTTTTTTACCTTTTATTCTTGGTCTTACTCCTGTCAATCCATCTTTTATTAATTTTTGAAAACTTAAAGTTTTGTGTAGGTTTTTCAAAAGTTTTTCCTTTTGTTAAAAAACTAGTTCCAGTGTGACTGTTACCTGACTCAGCCTTGATCTCTAAAGCTTTATTTCTCAAAGCATTGTACATCAAGTGTGATTTCATCTTTGCTATATTCAAGGGCAACTTTAATATCCTTATATTTGTCACTTATGGAGTTTAACAGGACTTCAGCCAATTGATCTTTTGAAAGTTTTTTATCACAATTGGCCAAGTCTTGGGTAAGTTTTGTGAACCTACTTAAGTTTTCTTCTAAGTCAATTGCAGGATCCATCTTAAAAGAGAAGAATTGTTTTAAAAGAAAACACTTATTTGGAGTGGTTTTGGTCTCATAGTTTGCCTTAAGTTTTCCCAAAGATCAGAGGCAGTGGTGGTTTCACCCACTTCTCTGATCACATTATCAGATAGGTACAAATATATGGTGCTCCAAGCAAGTTCAGATTTCTTAGTCAGTGCTAAACCCTCAAGCCATGAATCATCTAATGCCTTATCACATTTCATTTACATCAAAATGACTTTCATTTTCTGACTCCACATATCAAAATCAATTTTACCATCAACTTGACTAACTTCAAATTTAGCAGTAGCCATGATGCATACAAGTTATCACACAAAGATTATCAAGAATTCAGAACAATTGAAGCAGGAAGTCCAAATTCCCAATTTGAAATCACAGAATAGTACATGATTTCAATAGTCTTAAAATATCAACAGAGAGAGTAAGCAGGATCAATCAATAGAATGCAATCACTAAGATCAAATTACAAGGTTTCACAGATTCCTCCAGCAAGATTCTCCAAAGCTACGCACCCATACTTGATTTATCTCATATTCCAGAGGCCTCACAGGAGCCACTGGACAAAGATTAGTCTCAAGGGGGTTTCAATGGTGTATTAAAAAATCAAGAAAAGTTCAAGAAACCCTATTTCTTAAATGTAATATAAAGTAAATTGAAAAGATCTCACTCAGTGATTCAAATATGCTTTTCAGCAGTTCCAAAAATTTCAGATCTGTTGAAGATCCACCTTTTTCTCCAAGATTCAGGTATCATGCTCCTCAGTGTGGCTCTGATACCACTAAAAGCCAAATGTCACACAATATTAAAATGAGAAGCAAGATAATCAAAACAGCCTGAAGTAAAACAATGCAGAATATTAAAGATTCGACACAATAAATCTTTCGGCCTAAGCCCCGGAGGTTCGACGATCGCTTCAAACGCCTACATCTCCCGTTGAGCATCCAACAAGTTGGATTACGCTCGGTTGCACTATATTGGCCAAAATTGGCAATGAAGGTTTACAAATGTTCAACAAATACAAAGAGATAAAGCAAAGACACTTATCTCTCAAGATTGACCAACACCTTCGAAGAATCACAAAGAATCTTCATTGCATCCCTCTTAAAACATCACAACTCAAAAGAACAAATGATTTTACAGATAATCACTCAGAATATCTAACCAGATCACTAAAATTTTCATGTTTAAAGCCTCAAATCAGAGATTTGAGCCAAAGAATCAGAACTGATGAAACCCTAACCAGACGAGAGGTTTTTCTCTCACAAGAATCAAGAGTCAGACGCGTTAATTGAGTGTGTGTTGTGCCAAGTGAAACGGCACCAATAATAGAAGGTTCCAATCCAATCCAACAGTCCAGGTCAAGCCACATGTCTCCATCCAATTGAAAGTGTCAATTTAATATAAAGTTACAGTTTCATAAAACATGACTTTTCAGTATCATAAAATCTTGGAAGCATATAACCATGGTTCGAGTCTCACATGGGGCATCACCATTAGAAGAAAAAGAAGGAATCAAACTGTGGCTCTTCAAAAAAATTTCCTGCCAAGCTCGAGGATTCCAAGTTAGTGAAGAACAGCCTGTTGGCAACCCAAAGTGGAGATTTTGATGAAGAGGGTATGAAAACATGACCCGTTTTGATTTTTTACTTCAAAGCTTTATCTTGATTTTTTTTTTTGTTTATTAGTTTTCAAGTACTGAAGGACCACCTCAATCCATGGCTTATGCCCATGATACACAGTACTGGTCCACTGGATAGCACTGTACGGGATAAGATATGAGATTTTGAGTTATTTTTTCTTTCATAAACCTATTCGGTGGTGTTGAGTCCTGTCTAACAGATATGTTTAAATTATTTTAATTAGCATCTGGAAGTGATTGTTCATGTTTTAGAATAAATTCTAAGAGAATAATGCTTTATTTGCTCAACTCTAGCTATCCTTGTAGTGATATGGATCCTTAAATTTTTAAAATGTTAAAAAAAAAAAAAAAGGGCTTCAAATGGGGCAAGCCATCGTCCTATGTCTAAGGGAAGGGGCGGGGGGAGGGTGAGGCACAACGGGGATGCCCTTCCTTGAACCTTACCCACTGCCATCTCTACCCTCGAGTCTCATTCTTCATCAAAATTGAATGTTATTTGCAACCACTATTCAACAAATTCACTATTCCAACAGACTCGTTGCACTTGGTGATCGGTTTAAAGGATAACAAATGACGTTTCCAACACAAATCCTTTTGCACAAGGTCCCATAGAAGATTTATTGAAAGGTAGGACTTTCTATTTTTATCTTAGAAGTCACTACTATTAAAATATTCCTTTCATGACTCATTTTATGTAGAGAAAAGTGATATTTCCATCAAATACGATACGATTAATTGAGTTAAAGTAATCAGTTGCATTAATTCCTCAAGTAAAAATGTCAATTCACAAAATTATCTCGATTATAAGTAGTATCGATTTAAACAAGAAACCTTATCCTTTACTCTTTTAAAATAATATATGCTCCACCATACATGTGCCACGTCTGGTGCCTTGTGCCGCACAAATTCAGTCAGTTTCTTAAATTTCTATGGGTAGAAACCAAATGAAATCGAATGTGCGGTAAAGAAAGCAGGGTACCGCTATTTTGATCCACACTTTTTATATATACATTCACTTTTAAAAATTAAATTTTGTTATATTTTAAATTCTATGTAAATTTACTTAAATAGATATAAACAAAATTAAATAAAAATACATAACTCTAAATTGATACAATAGTTTTTATTTTCATTTGTGCTTAACTATAAAGAAGAATTCATGAATATAATTATAGGTGATGGTGGCCTTAAATATGATTTCTGTGCCGGGAATCATATTGAATTTCGAAGAACGCAGAATGGAATCTAATGCAATTTCATTAGTTAATCAAGAAAGAATAATAATTGTAACCAACAAAGTGAGTAAAATTCAATTTGTTTAATCAAACTTTCTTTTTTACTTCTTTAGTCTTTGTTGTTTGAAACATTCTAATACTCAAAACTTGAATAGACAAAGAATTAATTCCATGTTCATTCAGTTCAGTTTTGTTCTTATTTCATTCATTTAGTCTAAGAGCATATGGTTTTAGGGATTGGGCGAATCTATAATGATAGATATGTATTTAAAGTGGGATGAATATATAAAATTCACGTGGATGTATGTTATTTAAATGAATGAATTTAATAAAGATAAAATTGAAATATGACGTGGATGTTAATAATATTTTTTAAAATTTTATTAGAAATGAACTTAAAATGAGATGTACTTATAAAAATATGTATGAAAATAGCAGCACTCAGAAATTATAACAATAAATACCCGCAAAAATGGCCCCCAACAAACAACATGCAAGTCAAAAACAACTGTGGATGTAATAAGATCCTTGTAAAAAATCCGAATCTGCTCAGTGGAACATTGCCTGTCAGATGGCTGATCCAACGGCTATAAGTCCTTCACTCACTGCCTAACAAAAGTGAACAAAAGTTCTCCTGATGGCATCATTCGAGTGTCCAAAATTGCACCATTTCCTTCTTATAATCAGAAAAAAAGTAATCATATTTGGCCAACTCATACTCTTCTTTCCCTAGCTGTCTTTGTCTGCCGCCTCTCACTTCGCCTCTTGATTCGCCGGATTTCCCGGCCAGTTTGCAAGAATTCCTCACCTTGGTCTTCTTGGATTTTCTTGATTTGCCGGCGAGTTTCAAGAACTCTGCAACTGGGTTTTCTTGATTTGTTTTGTTGCCTGTGTCAATATCTATTGTTGGATCCCTTTCTTTTGACTTGCCGGGAAAGGTATATACAATCATTTATACGTATATACCGATTCATATATGAGAATTTATTTCTCAGTTCTCATTTCTGAAAGATCCCCTTTTCCGTTTGATCTTAATCATTGGCAAAAATTCTTAAAAAGAAATTACACGTCTATATATACAAATTCGTTATTTGCTTATATATGGTGATGTCGGTGTCTCCAAGGAAATCGATAAACAAGGTGTTTGAGAGGGTTGGGGTGTATGGTTTTGGAGGAAGCAGCCAAAAGAGGTGCAAGTATGCAATTGAAGATGAAGATGGGACCATGGAAATGGAGCAAATTGGTGCTGAAAGGACGAAAAATGTGCTGATTCTGATGAGCGATACTGGTGGCGGCCACCGTGCATCGGCAGAGGCGATTCGAGATGCGTTCCAGCTGGAATATGGGGATGAATATAGGGTAAGTTAATTAATGATTTTAATTTTTTTAAATCTTCCAACTTTGGCAAATTTTATGGCTGTTTATATGTCAATAAACTAGGCCCTAAAATAGTGTTTTTGAATAGAGTTGATAAATTCTTAGAGCTAAAAAATTGCTTATTTGCATAGTTTTTGCTCTTTCACAAACTCTCGCCTTTGTATTTTTGTCCTTGTTGCTTTGCAGAAGTAGTCCATTCTTTGTCATAAATTGTGGTATGGGAAAACTGCGTTCGCTCATGGAAAAAATTGTTCAGGTCTCTTATGGAAAAAAATGGTTCTTCCAAGTTATTTTGATGCTATACTGAATTTTGATCTTTAATTTTGGATTTTCGATGCGTGATGCTACTCAAACTTTGTGTTTCCTCAATTTGTTTATGTTATATTTCTGTGTTTCACAGATTTTTGTGAAGGATGTTTGGAAGGAGTACACAGGCTGGCCGCTGAATGATATGGAGAACCAGTACAAATTCATGGTTAAACATGTGCAGCTTTGGAAGGTTGCATTTCACGGCACCTCTCCTAAATGGATACACTCTTCCTATCTTGCAGCCATTGCCGCCTTTTATGCCAAGTATGTTTTCTTTGTCCTTGTGATTCTTCTCACCTCTACTCTTGATTCACATATGATTTTATTACTTGTAATGCCATCAAGTGGAACCAAAGAGAGTACATAGGCTTAAATAGCCTATATTAAATTTATTGAGTATGAGGTTTAATGTAACGTATGTTTGTTGTTGGTGCCAACGAGTGGCTTCTGGATGTCCTAAACATTTACGAATAATGTTATTTGCTGGCAATCTTTCTGCGGACATACATATGACAAGTGGTTATTTGATGTATGAGCCAATAAAAAACTATCACATTAATGCATCGAATAACCATTTGCCATACATATGCAACGTAGGGCAACTGCAAATAATATTATAATTCTTACGTTCAATACTTGCTAACTTCTGCCGTATGTTTCGGTATTTAAGGGAGGTTGAGGCTGGCCTAATGGAGTACAAACCCGATATCATCATCAGTGTCCATCCTCTTATGCAGCATATTCCACTTTGGATACTGAGATGGCAAGGATTACAGAAGAAAGTTATTTTTGTTACAGTCATTACAGATCTCAATACGTGCCACCGCACATGGTAATTTACAAATGTTCTTATTTCGTTTTTTGTAAAACGTTAAGTGCATTTGCGAGTTTCTTGATCTGTTGAACTCTAATCTTTCCGTACTGATATAAAAACGTTATGTATTAAGGTTTCATCCGTCTGTCAATCGGCTGTACTGCCCCTCAGAAGCTGTTGCAAAGAGAGCTTCACTAGATGGACTCGAACAATCCCAAATTCGTGTGTGTGGGTTGCCCATCCGACCTTCTTTTGTTCAGGCGGTTCTATCCAAGGTGAACATTAGTTTTCATCTTTCCTGATTAAGTTTGTCTTGAAAAGAAAACATGATTTTTATTTAACTATTCAATAGAATTTGATTAGTATGTTGATCTGGCTCTTGGATGTTCTTTCCTCAATAGGATGATTTAAGAGTTGAACTTGAGATGAATCTTGACTTGCCAGCCGTCCTGCTAATGGGAGGTGGTGAAGGAATGGGCCCTGTAAGGAAAACTGCCGAGGCTTTGGCAGAATCTCTGTATGATAAAGAGCTCGAGAAGCCAATAGGGCAACTGATTATCATCTGTGGGCGCAATGAGATGCTAGCCTCCACATTGAAATCACTTGAATGGAAAATCCCCGTCAAGGTAACCGCTTTTCTCTTTAAGGACTTGTATTGAACTGCAAACTAAATGTGTTCTTTTTGGCAGACTATTTATTTCGGAGATGTGGATTCTTCTTGTTAAATGTAGGTTAGAGGGTTCGAGAAGCAAATGGAGAAATGGATGGGTGCTAGCGACTGTATTATTACAAAAGTACGTAATCATTATTTATCTTCATTCGATGTAACTTACTGATATGAGAAGGAAGTTAAGATCTTGTTCATACTAAACATAAATTATGTAAGTGATTTAGCATTCTGGATTAGGATTTAACATGTTTGTCGGGTATATAGGCTGGACCGGGTACCATTACAGAGGCATTGATAAGAGGCCTTCCGATAATTCTGAATGACTATATTCCCGGACAAGTACGTGTACCCGAACTTCTATTACATCTTCTGGCTAATTTCCTGGGACAGCAACAATATTTGTTACTGATATTTGTTTCTTTACCATGACAGGAAAAGGGAAATGTTCCATATGTAGTTGACAATGGGGCTGGAGTGTTCACCCGAAGTCCTAATGAAACCGCACAACTGGTGGCAGAGTGGTTTAGCACAAAGACGGACGAGCTCAAAAAAATGTCAGAGAACGCGCTAAAACTTGCCCAACCAAATGCAGTGTTCGACATTGTGAAAGACATTCACGAACTAGCTTGCCAACGAGGTCCCCTTGCAAACATCCCCTACGTTTTGACATCTTCATTCTCGAGTTTAATTTGCTAATAGACATTCGCATTCTGCGTGAGTAGGACGCCATGTACAGATAGCTAGCTTCAATGATATTATTTTTTGATCTCAGCAGATGCTCAAACTGTTACTTTTTACATTAGAGAACCGAACCCTTTCAATGATTTAGTCAAAAGAAAGACTTTTGGATTTTTGTTTTTTCCTTTTCTTTTTAGACTAATTATAATTTTATTATTATTATTATTATTATTATTATTATTTTTTTTTTTTTTTTAACGTTTATTTGAAGTGACCTTTATTTGTTGCATATTGAATGTTAAACGACTTGTGGAATGAAGTTGCTTCCAAGTTTGGAGAAAGTGATATTTATCAGCAAATTCAAACTTCTAAACATTACCCTACTAATATATTTATCTATTTATCTCATTTACGCCAATAATGCTCATTTCAAACTCAATATCATTTATCGATATTTTTTTTACTCTCTCTAACACATCCCTTATCGAGAAAATCATAATTTTATGTCAATGCCCGTGCAAAACTATTTGTGAACTAATAACGGTGGGAAAGCTCGATTAAAAATTTGATTGATTAGAGAGAAGGAAAAATATATTTATCCTCAACATAATTAAAGGCTCTAATATTAATGTATTTTAAAAAAAACCTGCTTTAAAAAAAGTAAAAAATTTTGATATAATGAAAGGAAGCAAGTTGCAATAAAACTAATTATTTAATAAAAATATTAAATCTTAAGTGTGCAGCCATGTCCTAAACTTTACTAAATGTAAATGATATATATATTTAATATGCCAAAATGCCAGTCACTTTCAAATGCTGCCACGTGGAGGATCTAATTGACTCTCAGATATTATTTGACTAAAAAATAGATTATGGAATTTTATAGGAACAATGTAAGGTCAATGGTTGGTTGAGATTCTATATGGGAAATAACTAAACATGCTGAACCATTATATCCGATCAAATCTGGCTGCGTCCATGATCAATTGCCAAACAGGACCACTAATGTGATACAAGCAATGAGTACAAGTCCGAGTAAAGACCCGCTGATCGTTGAAGTAGGTTCCATGACTCGGTCGCGAGCAAAGATGGTCAAAGAAGCGATGAGATTACTTGAGCACGTTACAATGGACAAAACATTGATTGTTGCGAGCAAATGAAAATGTTGAGCTTGGAAGGAGAAACAAAGTGGAACAATTTAATCTAGGCGACGGAAGGAGACCCTAGCGGGATCAACTATGCGACCATGGCATGCGGTCGCATGCCTATATGGAGCAACCACAAATGTTGCTTTGAAGTCTTCTATGCAACCGCACCCAACATAACAATGCAGTCACACAGACATATCTAGTACCGAGAAATTTCCAATTTCGCAAAATTTCCTAATTGTATTAAAACACTAAGTTTTGGTAACTTTTATAGTCTTTTAGGATTCCTTTCCTTTTTTAATTAGGTTTACATGGGTTCCCTAAATATAGGACCTATTATTTTATATTGTAAAGAACTTTGATATTATAATCAATTTGAGAGGCAAATTTACTTTTAATCTTTCGTTCTTCGTTGAACAAATTACGAATTTATCAATATTTTAAGTCTTGCGGCGTTCAAACTTTTTGGGTGAGATTCCCAAGTTTTGTAATCAAGAGCTCAACATATTGTCAGCGATTTTTGGTTGCTTAGTTCAATATTTGTGGGTCAAACTCAAAACTTTGATTTCTTGACCTTCTTAGGTTTGAAATTAATCTCGTGTGAGTTTCGTAACTTCAAATGTTACGTGGGTTCACATAAAACACCACCTTGGATATTTATATATTACAATAATTGTTACAACTGAACTCGAAAGATATTCCAAAAACAAGGAAATATCAATTGATTGAACATAACACTCAGGATCGATTATATGGGCTCAGAATAGCATTGTACCTATCTGTATAATATGAAAGATCCACAAACCCAAACCCCTAGTGTTATTCTGAGCCCATATATTAGAGCCTTTTCTTAAATGTTTGAGTTTTCATCTGCTTGATTTGTTTGTGGAAAATCGATTTTCACAACCAGATCTTGAAAGATCTGACCAGTAGTGAAATCTTAGCTCCTACTGGTGGTATTTTTTGGGTTTTTGGTGTCAATTCTTTGGAAAATATTGGTTTTCTTATGTTTATGGCTTGAATCGTGTTGTTGGTTGTCAGATTTGGTTTTTCAGTTATTTGTACCATAACCTCTTGGGTATTTTGCAGGGACCATTTGAGACCCGTGGTTGAGATTTGTCAGTCACCCTAAGGTTGCAGTTTCCTTAAACCCTAACCTTTGATTAGTCGTCTAACTGACTTTTTGTAGAAGTGTTTAAGTCCTATCACTCTAAGAATTTTGAATTGTTTATTGTAATTGTCCTCTGCTCGATTGTACTTTTCCCTTGTGTTTCCCAATATTCTCTGCACCGTATGTTTTTGAATTGAGCCTTGACCTGAGGTCTTTGAGCCTTAAGGAATCCTGGAGAATTAAAAAACAAGTAATTTGAAGTTATTCACTCTTTTTATCTCTTTTTAATCTTGTTGATATTTCATATTGTATGACTCTGTGTGAGTTGTCAAACACTTTATTGTGAGTATCTAAATTTATTGTTGGTGATTGACTCTTAAATGACTTTTTTGTGTTGATTAAAAATTTTCAAATGACAACTATAATTTTTGAACTTGGAGTTTTTAATGAAAAAAAAAAGATTTTTCCATTTGGCAACAAAAAATGAGACGAGTCCCTGTTCAAAAGAAAGTTTCAAAGGTACTAACTGGTGAATTTCTAGAGACTATGATTGTTGATCAAAGAACTAAATCTAATAAACTTGCCTATACTTCCATTATCCTTCATTTGTCTGATCAAGTTTTGATGAAAGTAGGGAAACTTGATAATGCCAAGGCTTTGTGGGAGAAGTTAGAAGAAATATACCTAGTTAAGTCAGTTCCTAATAAACTATTTCTCCTAGAGAGGTTCTTTAGTTTTAAGATTGATTTGTCTAAGGACTTAGATGATAATCTTGATACCTTTAATAAATTAGTACAAGATATCACTAATGCTAGTGACAAGGTATCTGAGGAATACAATGTTGTAATCTTCCTTAATGCCATACCTTAGGCATATAAAGATGTTAAAACAGTCATCAAGTATGGCAGAAATACCTTGACACCAAATGTGGTTATAAATTCTTTAAGAAGTAGAGAATTAGAGATTAAGACCGTGAGACATGGAAAGGAATGTAAAAGTTTATTTGTGAGAGGTGGTAGATCACTTACTAGGCAGGGTAATAATCAGAGTAATCAAAGCAATCAAGGGATTAATACCTTTAAGAAGAAAAGAAAGGAGAAGCATAGGTCAAAGACCATAAATGAAAATAGGAAATGTTATAGGTGTGGTAGGACAAGGAACTATTAAGGACTATTTTAAGAAAAAGAATGAATAGTGAAAGACTAAAATAGATGAAGGCAATGTTTTTGAGCCATTAGGTGAAATGATAGCAGAGGTCTATGTTGTGACAAAACCCTCCTCTGATCTACATACGACAAACATTGTAGATAACAATGATCAAAATGTTGAATAGATTTTAGATTTTGGTTGCACTTTTCATATGACCTTTGGAAGACCTTGGTTAGTAGATTTTAAGAATCTTGTTGGAGGTGAAGTAGTTATGGGAAATAATGCTGCCTATAGAGTAAAAGGGATAGGTAGTGTGACTTTAAAATTTGAAAAGTGTGACTTTAAAATTTGAAAATGGGTACACTTTGACCTTGGAAAGGATGAGGTATGTTCCTGATTAAAATAGAAATTTGATATCAATGGTAATTTAGATGACAAAGGCCTGCAAGGTAGATTTGGAGGTTGCCACTAGAAAATAATTATAATTAAGGGTTCCTTAATTATTTTCAAGGGGACTAAAAGGAATGGTATCTATGTTAATAGAGCCGGTGTTTTAAGTCACACTGCAGAATCCTCTATGGTTGAGATTGATGCAACCTTGAATTGGCATAATAGACTGGCCTATGTTAGCGAAAAGGGCCTAAATATTTTAAATAAATCGGGAGCCTTTAACAGGGATATTATTTCTAAAGTCCCCTTTTATGGGTATTGCACATTAGGCAAATAGCATAGGCTTCATTTCAATAATGGAAAGCACAATACTGCATCTATCCTTGAGTACATGCATTCTGATCTATGGGACCCATCATCTACCATCTCTCAAGGTAGAAATAAATATTTTTTTTTTATCCTTAATTGATTATTTTTCAAGAAAAGTACGGGGATTTCTTTTGGGAAAAAAAATCAGACACTTTTGAAAAGTTCAAAACCTGAAAAACTTTAAATGAAAACCAAATATGTAAAAAGATTAAAATTTTAAGAACAGATAGTGGTTTAAAATTTTGTAATGCTGATTTTGACAAACTGTGTAAAGATGATGAAATTCTAAGACATAAAAGTGTTCCATATACCTCACAATAGAATGGTGCAATCAAGAGAATGAATCGGACAATTTTAGACAAGGTTAGATGCATGATGATTAACTCAGGTGTCCCTAAAGTTTTGTGGGATGGTACTTCTATGACAGCGGTATCTATCCTAAATAGAATTTCAACTAGTTCTCTAGATGGAAAAACACCTGAAGAGGTGTGGACAGCCTACTCCCACCAAAGTGTGGGAAATTGAGCCTAGGTCCCAGAAACGTGTTTTCATGGGATATGCAGAAGAAGTGAAACGGTATAGACTTTGGGTGAAAGATAATAATGGTTTTAAGATGATAACTAGTAGAAATATGAACTTTAATGAAACTGGGATGCCTTGCCTAAGTGATAGGATCTTTAGTGAAGTCCATGAAGATGAAAATGAAGAGAGAACAAAATTGCATATAGAGCAAGAGTCTTCCCCTGATCTCTTGAATGAGGGTCAGGATAAAACTGAGAGTTGTGATGTGTCAGGTTCTCAAGAACCAAGTGAAGGCAGTGTTCAAGGATCTAGTACTGACTTGGAGAATCCTTTAGATGATTATCTTCTAGCCAGGGATAGGACTAGGAGGGAGATAAGAGAACCTGTATGAACCTTATTATCCTGTCATATCAAAATTTGGCATTTAAAGAGCCAAAATCTTATGAGGAGGCTTTTAATTG